ATGTCCATCCGGTTGTGTATGCTGACACAGCAGTCGCGAGGGTTGGTCGCTCTAGTAGCAGGAGCAACTTAACGTCACCACCTGGCAAGCAGCAACGTCGAAGAGCAACTGACGGGGGTTTACAGGTGTTCTTTCCGCACCAGGAGATATCAAATTCAGACACAACTGAAATGGCCATGTGGTGTAATGCGCAATGCGCAACATAGCCAGCATAGCGCTCTCACCCGTCGCGACGGTTCGATTCCTTACCACCTGGGTAAATGGGCTTTGCCTGGGTGTGCAGATTGCACTCGGTGCTTTCTTGGGATCGGCTTAAAGGGTTGACTTAGTCGCCAATTCGACGATCGACGTTCTCCTTCTGTTCTCCTTCTCTTTCGATATCAACAATTCAGCAAATATGTCGCCATGAGCAGGCAGGCCGGTCCCCGGTGGGTGGAGTTGCGTGCTGGAAGATTCTCTTTGAGGCGGGTCATTGTATCTTCTTTTTTTCTTCCCCCATCTCGCATTGAAATGCAAGGTGCAGCTGTAGTTCTTTTTAACCTTCTTTTCAAGAAGGTTGTTTATTCTTAAGTATCTCTATTCAAGAGGGCGCTTGTGAATTTGTTGATGCTTATATTCTAGATACCATCGTCAAGGTCGAGATGTCTCTCTGGGCAAAGAGGCCGCGAATTGGTAGCTAAAATACATACGGTCACCTATTTTTATTTTATTCTTCGACATTTTTTTTCACCCTTGATTCTCATCAAGTGGACTTAGAAAATGGACAACGGGACCAGAAACATCACTTAACCAACTACAAGATTTTCGACTATCACTGCCTTTATTTTGGGATTGCTTGCATCGAAGTTCCTTCTTCGAGTCGTACCCTCATTTTTCCTTTGGTAAACTCTTGATGTTGACAACCGGTATTGTTTTCGCATTGAGCTACGACTCCCTTTTTGGCATGACGTCGTCATCTACGTTTCGGCCAGACTGACAGTGTATTCCTGCTTTCCTTTCCCAATCTTTTCGATATACTCGTACTTCTTGTTTCCAGTCGACAAGGAAACGCTGCCTTTTTGTCTTTGCTTCTTGAATTTACCATTAGGAAGCGCCATGAGAAGGATGATCTTGTGCTGTCTCAACTGTCTAGACCATTCGGGCAGACGTTCGTCTGTAATGCTTGTGAGGGCTGGAAGTCTGCTTCTCAATGTTTTCCTTAAACAGATGTTACGTGCGTGCCGTGGAATGCCCTCATAATCGCAGCGTCAGCCTTTCATTTTTTGTCTTCAAATCATAATAAACAACTACTCATTGTTTTATCAGGAATTATGAGAGCAATCGGAGTCATCACATGTAATTGAGCCGGTTGGTTTCTGTTTTATCCTCCACTTTCTTGTCCCTCAGGCGATGAATGGAGGGTTAGGGTTTCTAAGCGCCTCCCCTATTCCATGGTGGAATCAACGCTCATCATGCCGTCGACCAATCTCCAAATTTAACATCACTTCGATTTGAGGTGCAAACCCGCTACCACACCAGTCAGTCATCACTGCCTGACCGAGGCATCTCAAGTTCTACCTTTGCTTTGCCTCTGCGGCCTCGTATTTCCCACGCATAATGGTCGCGACCGCAAGCGACCCAGGTCGGTTTTCGGTCTGCCTTCATTGCGACCGACGAGGGGCACAAAAACAACAAACAACACGAATTGGTCAAGCATCACGAGAGGTTCAATAGCGACAGACTGATAGGTCGCCACCCTTGGTAGGGCTACCAACTGAAAGATTGTTCAAATCCATATCACAACCTTTCGAAGATGAGATGGTCAATTGAGCACTCTGATTGGCGCATTATGGGCACAGAAGTTGTTAAGGTGAGGCACTAATTCCGGTACCTTGCAGCTACGGCGCGATCTCATGGAGATAATTTCCCTTTGAAGAAGATTCTATCTTATACAAGGCTTGAGGACAGCTTCTCTGGCTGCTTATTTGCCCGGTGAGGATAGAGGTGTGATGGCCGGCCGGGCGGCCCGGAGAGATCGATCAAGGCGTTTTTCTGGTGTTTACCTGGGGTGGGGGCCACTGATATATGGGTGATGCCACCCATGTTTGATGGCCTTGGCCTTTTCTTTGCGAGTTCTTGTCAAACTTGTGGGTTCGGTGGCGTGTAGTGTGCTGCTCACCGTCCGCTCGAGATGGCGGTCCCTTATACACTCCTTTACTTCTTTACATCTTTCTTCTCGTTTGTTACTTGCATTCCTTTGAAGCCTGGTATTAGCTTTCAATCACAGTCCTCGCTACCGGTACTCACTTTACCATATGGATCGTATAGAGCCTCAAGTTATCGGTCATCAAGCGATTTGTAAGTTCTTGCGTCTTGGAGATTGAGTCGTCTCACAAGCTAACGACATCATAGGTACATCTTCAAGAACATCAGATATGCGGCCCCACCTGTCGGTGAGCTGAGATGGGCCAAACCAGCGCCCCCAGCACAGAATAGCACTCATCAGGATGGCAGTTATGGGCCAAGATGCATTCAGTCGGCTCCGAATGGTATCAATGTGGTCGGACCAGGCAACAAGGCGCCTGTCGGAGCTGTCATAAACCAGTTGTAGGTGCTGTTCTTCATGGGAAACCCCACATGTTTCTAGTATCTGACTCCTCTTCAGCCTTGGTGGAATCCCATTGCCACTCTTCTCAGGTGGAAGCGAAGATTGTCTATTCCTCGACGTTTATGTGCCTGGAAAGGCGCTCAAAAACCCGACCATCAAGTTACCCGTCGTTGTATGGATCTACGGAGGTGGCTTTCTCTTTGGCAGCAAGGACACGATGACGCCCGACTTACCGTTCTACGATGGAGGAGGGATGATTGGGCAGTCAAATAACAACATGATCTTTGTCGCCATCAACTACCGCGTCGGTGCCTTCGGATTCTTGGCAGGGGAATCCATGGAAAGAGACGGGCTCCCAAACGCTGGATTGCACGATCAAAGGGCTGCTTTGCAGTGGGTGAGGGATCATATTCACTTGGTTGGTGGTGATCCTACCCAAGTCACTGCAATGGGCGAATCGGCGGGTGCGTCGTCGATATTTCACCACATTGTCGCGGAAGGGGGTCGCCTTGATCCTCTCTTCTCAAGGGCAATTCTGCAATCTCCAGCCTTCCAGCCGATATGGGACCGTGCTGGCAAAGTTGAAGATACATTTCAGGATTTTGCAACACTCGCTGGATGTCAAGGCAAAGGGCTGGCCTGTCTGCGAGCTGCTGACCCGACGGCGTTGATCAAGGCAAATAACGCGCTGAACTTGAAGCAGGCACCGGGTACCTTTGCAATTGGCCCAACACCGGATGGCAAGTTTATTCGCCAGTTGCCAGTGCTGGAGCTCGCCCTGGGAAAGTTTTGGAAGCTCGATTCCTTGATCCTGTCCCATGTCGCGGACGAGGCAAGTTTGTTTGTGGGCGGTTCCATTCAGACAGATGCGCAGTTCTCAGGCTTTTTGGGCCAGCTGTTTCCCAACAATACTCTGACGGCAGGTGTGAACAACAAGATTGAAGAAGCATACCCTCCTGTCAAAGGGACGAAGAAGTCAAAGTATGCCACACAGACAGCTAGGATGACGGAGTTTACAAGAGATAGTTGCTTTACGTGCCACATTAGGCGTAAGTCCAGGCGTTCCCGTTGCTTCTTGGGTCATGGTTGCTAACGTCCACTCTATCTCTACAGATCTGACAGAGTCCTTCGGCGATAGCAAAGTCTGGAACATGCAATACAGCGTCTTCCCTGGCCAGCACGCCACCGACCTGATACCCACTTTCTTCAGCACAGCCTACACATCCGACACCTTCCTCGACGACCTGGCCATGTTCTTTGTACCTGTCCTCGGCACCTTGGTGGCAGGCATCAGCACAGCGATGCAGAGTTATTTTGCGTCGTACATCACCACAGGGAATCCAAACATGAACAGAAAGATACTGAATCTTCCACCGGCTATACGTTGGAACCATCCTGTCAGCGGACGAGGCGAGCAAATCTCGGGCGTGCTGGATGTGGGTGGCTGGGGGATAACGACTGTCAGTGACGATAAGAATCAGAAAACGCCTTGTGATTTTTGGAGAGGATTTGCGGCGGCTGTGACGGCTTTGGGGGGGTACTCTCCTCCTGGGGAGGTTGTGCCGCAGAACCTTGTGAGGGTGGAGGGCGATGTGAGCCGGAACTATGTTGGTGGCAATGCTGGTGAATGAATTCATAAGGGCAAAGCAAACTACAAACAGGTCCTGGAAAATCATGGGCAAAAGTCGGTACTGGGAATCAGGGCTGATATGGTACTTGGAATCAGGGCTAATATGACGGATCAGACGGTGATAGGCTTACAGGGCTGACGGTCATATCACCCTACAGATCAGTGTTCTCGATGCTATCTTCCGCATTGAAACGAAATAATGGCCCCTCATCGTTTCACCTGGCCATCCGCCTGAGCTCAACCTGCAGAGGAAGACCGAGCGGACCAGGACGGATAGAGATGGATCGGGGTGGCGCATGTTTCCAAACCATCACCGGATATTTTGTCGAATGCCCTGCACATCCTGATTGACTGGGCCTGATTGCGGATGTGAAGAAAGGCTTCTTTCCCAGTCCATTTCTCGGTCTGGTAGGCATTTTGACTTGAGGTTGTTACCAGGAGTCCAATCAGTTCAAGCCACACTAGACAGCGGCATGGCAGTTACATGGTCACAATAGGTAATGTCATTTGTTGAAACGAATTCAATATTCTATCCTGAACCGCCCTGGCTTGCTTCCTAGATGCGGCCATGGTGCTCGACTTTGGAACTCACTCCTCTATCTACGATTGGATTAAGTAGTCGACCCTCTTGAGCTCGGTGAGGAACAGAGGTGTCACTTCAACCACACAAAGAGTCGGAATTTGACACACAAAATTTGCCATTCGGACTAGAGGCCCCTCTGGTGAGGTGTTTTCGAGCGAACATGTTTGTTGTTATTTCATTCTGAGGAGGGTATCGTTGGATAGATATCACGGGACTCCCGGGCATGGAAACTGGGAAATTAACAGGCCATGCGATGCGACGCACGATAATGACAGGGCGGTTTGACGGTACTTAGGGTGGCCAGGCGTCCCCTCAGACTGATTTCTGGCAACCAATCACGGAGTCTTCACACAACACAGAAAAGACGGATCACCGCTACCGACCGAAGGTTTCCGGTCTCGATGAGGAGACAACGCCGAACGGACCACCACGATGCATCGTCCCGAACCGCAGCGGTTGGCGCGATCACCAACTGTCAAGTGAAGTACTTCGGGTCGATAGGCTGACACGGGCCAATGACTTTTGCCATGGGCTGTAGTGGTTGTGTGAAGTTACTTCGTGTCGTCGTCATCAAAAATTCAATCTTTGATTGGCCGATGCCCACGCCGGTTCGACGCCTGCGCTTAGACGCGCATATTTCACCACTACATCCATCCTCAATGGCATTTTCAGCAAGCCACAGCAAGCTTCAGTGGGATTCTCTTTCCTAATTTGTCTGTGTAAATGTTGGGCTTTGCGAGAACTCCCCTATCACACACATTTTGTGCAACACGATATCTGATTTGCATATTCCACCTTGTCAGGTGATGACGAGTCCTTACGGCCGCTTTCGAGTAACCACCGCCGCCACCTCATCAAGCCAAACGACCGTTGATGCCGTTGTGCCCCAATGTCCCCGCGGGGCATGGAGAGATGCACTGCCACCACCGGAAAGGTGATGTCATGCTTCCGGCGACGCCTCCGGATTCCCGGAGTCTTTTGGAGCCCATTGCCCAATCTTATTGGCTCGCTTCTAGCAAGTCATCACAAACATGTGGTATGATGCAATGAAGCTTTTCTTTTGATGAAAAGAAACGTGGCTCTTCGGAGTAGGGTGATATCTCGCGGAGAGGAAGGCGACCAAGCAACCACTGCCAACCCGGAAACCCCGGGGCTCAAGCTACATTTGTGAGGTCAAGTTAAGATCACGAAGGATGATGAATAGAAAATGTATGATTGGATAGTCCAATGCAGACCGGCTAGGGGCATCAACATTATTCATCGCTGTTAGCCCGTTATACCTGCAGCGTGCCTGAGGCAGCTTAAGTACATACACACATGCAGCCACTCAAAACGGCATATGCAGACCCCGGACACCAAACAACTACACCTCTCACGAGCGACAACCGCGCAGTTGCGACCCTGCATCTGTCAGACGGCGTCGTATCACTCCGTCTGATGTCGAGGCCGTCCCAACTGATCAAGATCGAGGAGCAGGATCATGCCATATCAGACGACAAAAAGACACTTACAAACAGGCAGCCAGGCTCACCAACCGCCGAAACAATCACTGCGCCACTCTCAGCGCTTCGGGCCGAACGTCATGTGGCTTGCTTGCCCACCCTAGCAAATTCCAAACGTCTCCCCCCAGTCCATCAGTTGGGGGCCTAGGCATTCTCTACCCCCTACTCGGCTCCGATCTTGCCGCTAGGTGGGTCCGGATGAAGTCCGTACAGATCCGGAGTTTGGGGGCTGAGAGCTCGGGTTACCAATCATTCGCACGGCGTGCGTGAACCCCACTTGCCAAAACTGGGTAGGTACAGCTTACCTCAGCACCGTATCGACCACACACGACCACTGAGCCTCTTTGCTGCATTTACCAAGCCGGCAGACTGTGTTTGTTGGCTCCCTTATTTTCTTTTTTTCCCCTCCAGGACTCGACTGGGGTGTTTTTCGCTTGTTAGTTTTACACCGACCACACGCACACAGTTGCGGAAATTCCATACACTAGCATGTACACCGAATGCAGAAGATACGAGGCAACCTGTTGTTGCTTTTGATCCTGGAAAGAGAGAACCCGAAACGTGGCTTCTGTCATGCCTCGGTAAAATAACGCCTGAAGCCCCAAGTGCGATGTGTGCAACATGAGAAAAATGATGATCAATGGCCCTTGTTTCGGCATCAAATCTGCTGGTAAGCTGCGATCCTTCCCGCCTTGCCGAGGGGCGCGCACTTTGATACACACTCCACACGTGCGGGAGCAAGGAGATGGGACCGGGCGGTGCAAAATTTTGGTTCGGGTGCTACAAGGTCTTTGCAGGTTGGTAGGCGGTATTTTGTGGGAGGAGATAAGAGGCAGGGGTTGATGAGGCGGTAGGCGGTAGTGTGCCGTGGTTTTTAGGTGGGTTTCGTAAATTAAACCCCGGTATCCTGGGAGTCTGCTGGGGGGTCTACCATAGTAATGTTAGTGCCGCTGGATGCTGTGTGGTCACGGGATTTTCGTCTGCGCGCCGGCTGGGTTGTTGGTCAGGGTCTGGGATCGGTGGACGTGGAGTTGGTTGGCTCCGGGCAACAGATGCCATGCAACTTCTATGGAGGCGGTGTCACGACTTGCAACAACAGTCAATTTGTCTTGGTTTTTTTTTGTTTTTTTGTTTCGCAGTTGATGTTTTATTCTCGTTGCGTACAAAGATTCTGCTATTTCCAGCTAAATAAGAGAAAGAAATCCTCCAAATTCCAAATAAAGCCAAAACCTGGACTAGTAAAACTGGCAAAAGCGAGAATAATAATAGCTTGACATCAATGGGATTTTCTTCACCGTATAATAAAGTGTCGGGAGGTAGTCGTGTTGGGGAGGTCGAATGATACAGGTGTTAGAAGGGTTGGTGTAAGAAACGTTAGAGGGGGTTAACGTGCGTGTAATAGCACGATAGGAAATGTAAATCATAATACGCAAAAGTCCGCCCTAAAATCAACCTCCTTAAATATCCCCCACGTCGTAAAAAGCACTGATTTGATGAAATCCCGAAGCCAAAAGAGCGCGTGTGGATGCCCCCGCTGATTTAGAGAGAGAAAATCTGGAAGAGATTGATGTCAGTGTGGAATGAATGATAGAGGGGCAAAACCAGCGAAACATACCAGTTCCAATCGTAGCGACCGTAATCTTGTTGCTCCCTGTTCAATATCTCAAGCTGCTGCTGCTCCCAAAGAGCATAGTCGTATTGCCTTTGCTGTTCAAAACCCTCGGGGTCGAAGTTGTACTGCTGGTAGTCGAAAGCGTTACCCAAGAGCTGAGCGCAGCTGGCCTCGCCGATAATGAGATCAAATCTCCGGGGCTGGCCGAGGATGTCGTACACTTCAATCCCAAGGGGTTCGTCAAGGACATGGAATTGAACAAATTTCCAATCGAACGGGGAAGTTGGCTGTTGCACGTAAAGATCGACCCATCCAACAGGTTTGAAGACACCTCCCCGTGGGTTCAGAGTTCTGCCAAGGTCCGGAGTGCAATAGTTCCATCCGAGCGCCGCTAGCATGTCCTTAGAGATGTAGTTGACTCGATGGTGTTCTGAATACCACGTTTGTAAGGTGACGCCCTCTGTACCCACATGATTAGGAAGAACTTTAGCACCCATGATGCATTCTCGGCGATGATTCACACGAAGCACTGTGGCGTTGACCCGGCGGAGGGCGGTGTTGAATGCAGGTTGTACGTCGCTCATGATGTCGTAGATGCTCCTCAAGGATGACAGGACTTAGTTCTTTCTGGACATCCATCAGTAAATATCTGAATGTTTGTTGAGGGGAGAATTACCCGTGCCAAAGCAGAACCCCTTCGACTGTGGCCGAACCGCCCAAAGCAACGGTGCTGGCTATAGAGAAAGAAATAGCACAAGTTCGTGTGCTTTTATCCGAGGTCTTTGCTGTGGGTCGGTCTCTTTCTTTTAACTCCGGAGTCTTAGTTGAGGGGGCACAGAGTGATCGTGGCTGGGGGGAGAGGCAGTCTGATAGAAATATCGGGAGGCGAACGGCCTAATGTACAATATCATAGAAGCCTTCCAATCATAACGGCCGTTCAAAAAGTAGGATAAGTGTTCAAGTGGGATGTAATTACAAAGAGAATCTAAGTCCCAAATAAGCAAATGGTATTGCCAAGGGGAACAGGGCAACTAGTGGACCAATGTCAAAGTTGAATCCGAGGGACCTTCCAGACTCAAAAGCCAACCTACCCACACCCTTCAGTACATGCCCCACAGCATATAAAAGGGAAATCGAGGCGACTTCGCCTCAGATGTAATCAATAATGGAAAAACATTTATGAAGGGTAGGCTGAATCCTGCACTTGGTGTATTCATGAGCAAAGGCCCTGTGTAAAATGGGCGCTGTTTACAGCCCAGGAAGCTCCAGGTCTCCAATCAGCAACCTGTACCCTAAATCGCAGCAAGTTACAACAGGGAATTCCATCTCCACAACCATCATGACCAAGCCAGACACAGCCCGCTTGATGGAAATGTACATGAGCCAGCCCCTCAATATGTATTGTCAATTTCATCCACTTCGATGGACCGCGAGTGAGACTTCCAGTCGTGGTATGAACCGCATCGCATCGAGGAGCATGATCGTTACGATAGCTGGCACCGGACTCATGTGCGGGGTTACTCGAAAGCGCAGTCGATGTGAGGGGAGGCGAACCTGCCAAGGCCAGAAAGACGGGATTGGAATTGTCGGAATATGGTAGGTCGGTGTTTGTGAGTGTCGGGTTAGTTCGGGACGAGAGCTGCGGACATTCGAAGGAACTGGTCACTCAATCGTGCCTTAAAACAGATTCAGGCCTGCAGGGCTGCAAAGAGAGAGAGACAAGTGCGCGACCTACCTTCGGTGTGAACGGGGCAGGTGCTGCGGTTATGAACTTCCAAATTGACCCTGCGAGAGGATGGCAGGCGCTTATTTCACCAAATTTCAGCCTTCATGATTGGACAGCGACTGGCGCTGAAAAGTACTGATGTAATAAATAGGCGTTTATGCAACCCCCTTTTGGGCAAGATCAATGTGTTACCGGTTGGAGCAATCTGTTATCGATAGGGGATGAGTTCAGCTTCCTTTTGGCATTTCCATCTTCACTGTTTGATAACATGATTCTCATCCAGTGCCCGATGGATGTGCTGTGGCGAGGATCTGAGCCAACATACCTCATTGTAGCCTCTTGCAAGCATGTTGATAGCACATTTACTAAACCGAACCACTCAGGCACATTGAGGCTCTACGAGGATGGAATCAGTTGGCTTGGAATGTGGATCAGAAATGGGCCCTGACAATGGTCGACCAGTTCTAGCCACGACTCTTACCCGTGAGATCATGAGTGTACGCCTTGTTGATGCATCCTTCTCGGTGAGCTTTTACTCTATTTCTGGTGCTAAACCTAGACGTATATAACGATGTCTAGAATGATACTTTCACGGCATACAAGACTTTCAACAGCAGCTCACACCCTTGCCTTCCCACCTAATTCTTCAACAATGTCTTCCGATCAACAGGCTGTGACAATCAAGGTAGAGGAACCCCAAGACAGAGCAAGTTGCCACCGATTCGCAACAACGAGAGATCTCAAGCTAACATTGGGGCAGTTGTCGAGGATATATCTTCATTCTGTGACAGTTCCGGGAATTCCAGCAGCATGTCGACAATTTGACAAGCCCTGTAGCTTTCCTTACACCAGTGGAACCTCCAATCAACAGAACGAGATCCCAATCACGCTGTTACGTTCTATACTTTCAGATCACCTTCCTGCAAAAGCTAGCAACGTCATTTTACAGTGGCGTCTTACCGCCAGCACTGAGGGTTCATATCCCGTGATCACCACTCGCCATAAGATCACCGACACCACATCTACGGTCGATGCACAGAACTATACCATCGTCTTTGCCGAACGGTTAGACAGACTTCAAAAGATAACGAGTAGCCACCAAAGGTTACGCAAATCCCAGCAAGACTCTCGAGCTCAGCTGAAGACATCCTATCCTTCTCCGCCTCTCTTGACAGGAGCAGGTAAGATCTCCCCGAATCAATACTGCGGCATAAGCAAAAGAAGACGGAGAAGACAGCTCGACTACACACAACAACCGTGCCCGGCCTTCCTCAGCGAACTTCGACGGCGTGCTGAGCAGCATAGTAAGGCGACGGGTGAGGTGAGCTGTCTTCTTCGGGTTATGCAGGTGCAACAATACATTATGTCCGGGAAGAGCAGCTTGAGTACCTGCCACAAACGAGATATGGAGTCTCGGTCTATTTCACCGTCGGACAACAGTGTTTGTTCTGAGTGATAGCACCGGGTTCACTTGAGTTATAATGTTTCTGATGCGGTGTTTCGGGGGTTGGTAGACAAATGATTCATTTCCTGTCGAGTATGTATGATGTTTATTTAGTCTTTCTCACATTTCCTTTTACTTGGGGATGGCCATAGGTCACTGTTAGAACATCGCGAATCTCGAGCATATTTTTACTTCCTCTGCACATTGCGTTACACGCCATCAGCAGTCAATGTACTAGAAGGTGTGAGCTAGAAGCCCCTGAAAATACCATATACTTAGTATTGTGGGAATAGGGCCTCGATACTGTAACCGACAGAACCTAACATGGTTGTCGGCCCTGAGTGGTTCTGTGTACAGGTAGATTATAGGTGCTAAGCCCTAACCCTGACTACCCCTGCTCTCTGGCGACTACTTACACAGAGCTTCAAGATTGTGATACTTCATAAGCGTATGATTGAGTGTCTAGACTATCAGTCTGGGATCTAGGCTACTTGAATAAAATCGAACAACGTAACGTATGTCCAGAGCGGCCCTATTGGAGAGCCAAAGAGCTTTCCAAGCGAACCCTGGGTGGGTGCTAGTTTAGCACAAAAACTGCAAGGAGATTTGGTCATAAAAATCATCACAATCCTCCTGCCCCTTCCCGCCCCTTCCCACAGCTTCCAGAACATGCCAAATCCACACCCCACCCACTCAAAAAGCCTTCTCCTCACGACCAACCCTGAAACTGACGTTCTTCAAGCAGCCACCGAGTGTCCATGTCCAGCTAATGCGAACACGACATGATGTGGATCTGCGACGTCGAAATAAGCAAACACTAGCCCATCCCTGACATCCGTCTATCCGCAGTTCTCCCGGGACTGGGTCCACACACACGATGAAACACGAACCCAGCCAGCTGGTAACTGCCGGTCAGACACGAATCATGAGATAATATTTCCAAATGAAAACGGGGTTCGATGATGGGCCAACCAGGTGTCAGATAACCAACCGACATCTCACCGGTTACTCGTGTGCAGTTCTTGCATCAGTCTGACCTGGTAGCCAATGTCTTCACTCCATTACCCTGGCTGCTTCAAGCTCACTGGCTGTCCTCGCCGAGTCGCCGTCCACAAATGAAGTTATGAACCACAGCAGCGGTCAGCTGATGTGGGCACCCATCTCTGCCGGGGCCACAAGGATATCCCTACCAATCGACACGACGTTAGCGTTGCATGAACCTCCTTCAAAAGCTTGTTTTGACTACACACCATGTGTTCAGTTCTGGGTCATTCATGGCGCCTTCCATGGTACCCACGCTCTCATCAGCGGCGACGACCACGGGCATCTGCTGGATCTGCTGCCTCTGGACCCACTCATCGACATTACTGCGATTGCCACACTCTTGACCGCCACCGCCGCTGTTAGGCAGCTCCTGGTCACCCTGGCCTTGAGCATACTGTGCATCAGTATCAGCAGCTAACGCGAGCCGCGGTTGGGGAAGCATAGCTATCTGAGCCTGGTACCATTGGATAAACGGCAGCCCCAGGATCACACTGATCCCCAGCTCTCGACACAGGTTGCTACTCACGACAGGGAACCTCATGAGTTCAAACCTCAACGAAAGTTGCCGGATCTCAAACACGGCGACAACACTCCGGCTGCTGGACATGAGCCCTAGCGGGGATGTAAACGTAGTCATGCGGGTTTCGTCCGCGGTCATCTCGCGCGACGGATACTCGCCTGGCTGACCGCCCAGAATGTGGGCGGTGTCGTCCAGCATATATGAGTTTCGGAACCTGGGGCTGATGAGACACCCCGGTAGTCTGACGACGTCGTAATTCGGGGTCTCTGTGATCAACCCAATTTCTGTCATGAACTCGCCCGGGACGAGAAAATTATTTGGAAAGTGGCGAACTCTCCGTCGCCGAGCCCAGGGGGGATCGCGAGGCAGCATTGTTGCTGGGCTTTATCCCGAGGTTTGGTTTTACGGATGTCGAGCAGCCCGAGCAGCGGTTCTGCAGATTTGGTTTGTGGTAGGGTAGATGACCTTCTCCAGGTGAAAAGCTAGCAAGCTGTGGCTGCAGCTTGAGGCGTCTCTGGGGTCTGAATTTGGGCCGTGTGCGAAAGGTGTTGTCGGTGGAGTCGCACCGTGACGCCTAACAGGGCCGCTGATTAGGATGGGAGTGTCTATCAAGGCATATGCATTAGTATCCGGAGAAGTCTTGGAGATGTCATGTTGTTGCTAACTTTGTGATTTTCCCTTCTAGACAGTCCCGCTGCTCCCGCACACGACACTTCCTCTGCCTAACCCCGCCGCTCTCGATACCAAACTCCCAGCCAACTCGAAATGCTTGAACTGGTATAGAATGGCGCAGGTGGGCTAGATGAGATCGAGCAGCTGCGCTTTTCGTCGATGGACTTGCCGGGTATGCACTTTCGGGCACACGCAAGATTGCGGCTCGTTGCGTTGGACGGCAGCTTCTGGAATTCTTCAGGGCAAGATCCAAACTGACAAACGCGGAGCTGGAAAGCAGACAAAAGAGTCCTCGTGTTGATTCTGTCAAAGACACTTCTTGCTTAAGCAAAGGTGGAGATGGTCTCGTCAGGGCAAGTTGTCGTCGACAAGAGGTGACCAGAAGGCTCGGTGAGCAAACAAGCGGAGAGAGCTCTGGGTCTGATAAGCCGAGAGTTTTTGGCGGGGTCATTTGGCTCACTTTGATGGGACGAGATGAAAAAGGAGGCGTCGGGCGTTTAATGCTGATAGAATGATATGGGCCGCGGAGCACTTGCAGTCAATACCGGGAATTTTTATCAGGCAGACTGATGGGAGCGAAGAAGCGGATTTCACCGGCCAGACACGACAAAGCTAGCTCGTTGAGAGCATTTTCCAAAGCTTCAGGGACCAGTAGGAAGCCCACAAACATGGTGTTCTGGCCGAGGTTCATGGTGGTTGGTGGGACCTGCATTCAGCTCCCACCACCAGGGTTGATTTTGGAGTTTTGGGTAATTGGAAAACTGACGGGCGACACCAGCCAAGAGAAGAGAGAGTCGTCCCTTTGCAAACCGACCCAAGCCGCATGAGACCGCGAGAGTATTCTACGTAAGCTGTTTCAACAAGCATCTTGGGCGTAAGTAGCATGTCTACGGTTCTAGTGACTGATATCTGGCAATGTATTGCTCCTGTCATCGATGAGGTTAAACACAATGGACGCCCTGGGCGGGTATTTAACTAGGTACCTTGCCATGTGAGCAGTTCGATGCCTTTCAGTCCCACACCCTGTTTGGCAGGGATGTATCCGAAGTGTTCCATGATTGGTTGCAGACTGTTTGACCCTCATGCAGCCACCACCAATTTACAATTCCCCTTTTTAGGATGTAGGTGGTACTTGTATCGCGCTTGCCGTTCTGATTGATACGAGACATATGGTGTCGCATTGCCGCGGAGCAATAATGGCCTTGAAAACTGGGCTGCCATGCTACGTACACACACGGCGAGGGACTTGGAGCCTTGCCCCGTGCCAAATTTGGTTGAGGGCTAAAGCCGAGGTTTGCAACTACAAGTTTTTTCCTCTTCTTGGACGCAGCAGTTTTCTCTCTCTTAAGATCACATAGTTCCCCTCTCCGGGAGTTTCCCGATCATCAGCCTTCTGTTTAGCATCTCTGAAGCATCAATAACTATGGCGCAAACGTCTTCGACCGGTGAAGCTGATACTTTTGTATGTGGTTCTTCCTGAGATATGCGCAGGCTCTTTGGCATGCTAACAATGCGACCTTAACAGGACTCAATCTGCATTACTCGGCTTCACGAACATTCACATGGTGGCCTGGCTTCCGGATCGTTAGAGCACTTCGTGTCTCCTGTATCTATCGACCTAGGAGGACCACACACTATCTCTACTGCTCTGGCATCCAAACTCCTCGAAATCGGCCTCGACGAACTAGACGCCTTGGTAAAGATTAAGAGACACATTGTTCATGTTGACTGGAGATACGAAACTCCAAATCCCAAATTCACAACGAGGCACCTTGTCATCGCAGGATCATTTCCCATGATCGCATTCGCTGGCGGGACACAATGGTTTGAGAACGTTGCCAGAACGTCAGTCTTTCGAGGTGAACAGGAGACAATGCCTATTCCGGATGATCTACGGGATCCAGCATGGATTACTCCTCTGACCTCACGGAAACCTTCCTTGAATACTGGACCCCAACTTGGAAACCTCAGCGGCTTGCAACACACATGCCGGCAAGAGCCAAATCGATGGGCCAGAGCTCTTTCTCCCCCAGAACTTTCAGACACCTCTCGGACAGTATCCCCGGACCCAGAAGATGACCAGCTATCCAACTGCTCAGACACAGCTTCAACTGGGAGCGCATTCTCTGAGGCTACAGCCCCCCGCATCTACACCCCCGCGCCATCTAGGCAGAACTCTTCCAGCCTAGCCGATATCAATGGTGCCTGGATGGACTGCCAGATCCAACAGCAATTCCAAAGCGAGGCCTTTCAACAGCAAAGAAAACAGGCTGAAGACCTGTATATGCGCACCGGAGATGTCAGTGGCCTCATTGGCGTGATCAAGACAGCGAGCCAGTTCTCACAGAGTGGTTCATCCACTGGAGCTTTTGGGCCATAAAACCACGCCCTCCGAAGTTACTTGACCTATTTACCGAATAATACAGATCATTACAAGTGCATCAACTTACCCTGACGTTTTGGCACACGTGAGGTGATGCTATGATTCGGCGGCTTCAACGCAGTTGGACTACGGGGATATTGTCGCAGGGTCATAGGCTTTTTTTGGTGCTACAGCTCTATGTACTGTTTCCTTGGTTGCTCTTCTCAGTTTGTAGCCAGTCTTGCGCTTCGTTTCCGGTATACATGTATTATTTGCTTTCTTTTGCTTCAAATTAGGTGCTCTTGAACCATGCAAAGTGCCCTCAGAATCACTAGCATCGAAGCCAAAGAAACCTCCACCATGAGCCACCAATCCCTCCGTCCCCATCGCACGAAAACAACCACGGCTATGATCTCTCTCAAACCCCATTCCACCTCCCTAGGTCCATATCTCACCCCGTACAACCGAGCCCTGCATACATGCCGGCGGCCCACTCGTCAATAGATCTCAGCTTTCATGTTATAAACGTCACACCACCGAGATATCCACCTCGAAACCGAGGAATTGACGAATTACCACCCTTCATTCCACGCTGAAGGAGCAGCCCTTATGGCACAGAGCATCCGGCACAGGCCGAAACATCTTAGCGTACGCCCGATTATGCCCCCCCCCTGATCCACCCCACCAGACCGTTGAATGATCATCCGTTCAAACCGAACTTGGCACGGGAATGGAGACTGGAATCTATCAATGTATCTCTATCCCGTTTGTATCCTCGATCCATTGAACTCATCCAAATGGGCCAAACTTCCAGATGGACTGTAAACCTCACCGAGATAACATTCTCTCCTCAGCTCCCGGGCACAGTCAGATGCAACCGAATCCCTCACAGCATGAGTTCATGAACACGAAAGTCACATCAAGAATATCTCAGGTTCAGCCTCAAGTAAATTACCTAACCTAACCCGCCCCCTCGGTCCCCCTTTTGTGGCGGGAGAAATTCCTGTCAGTATGGAACTTTCGGCACTGTAAGACATTCGCACCTCGGCTTCACAAAATAAAGTGATTATCCTATCATACCTAGCCGCATGACAATGCGATTTAGGGCAACCAAACAGACCGAATAATCTCGGTGTGTCGTAAGAAGGCTGAGCTCCTCGGGTTTAGGCAAGCAGGGGTTAGGGTTCAGTTAGGGCATCCTCAGCGGTGCGGCCCAAGCTCCACGGCACAAAGCCAAAGAACGGCTGAACACACCACAGCAAGTTTATTCCACCTTCAAGTGGTCAAATCCTGTGATCCTTCTCAAAAGACCTACTCAAAATCCCCTCTCTCACCGGTCAAGATGCCATCCCAACAACAGCTGGAAATAACCCTCCCAACGCCCGATAAAGTCTCGTGGTACGACAAGCCCAAATTGAACACGCCACGGCGTTAGGTCTCACACGATCAAACCCCTAAATCACGCCGCGGATCCCCCGATTGGAAATCGTTGTGCCTCACCATCACGCCGCTCACCCATGCAGTCAGAGCATCACAAGCCAATGAAACATTCTCTTCTGAATTGAGGACCGAAGGGCTCATCTTCGCTTCGCTTCTATGGAACTAAGCTAGATGTCAGGTCTGAGAATAGATGCCAAGGCAAACGACCAAAAATGCAACGTGATGTGGTGAATCGAACCGAAATGCAAAGACGAAAACGGAGAATACGGGGGACCCCCTTCCCCAACCGAAACAGGAGACAGAAACCCAATCTATATAAGTCTGACCCAAGTCCCCAAAGCCTCTTCATAGGTAGTTACCCAGTCATTATCTTCCTCCTCATTCATTACTCATTCCTTAACAGCTTCTCTCTTTCAACTGCGCAGGTCTTACATCTGGATAACGGACCCTCCCAGGCAGTTTTAGCGCAAGTCGGTTTCTCCTTTTGCTCGTCTTCGTCGTCCGCGAGCTCCATTAGTTTTCCAGGCTTCAAACCAACGTACCTATTAAGTCGTGACAGCCATTCAGAAACCCCCGTGTATTTTCCAACACAAAGGTGCGTGGGCATCATTTAACAAGTTAACCGGGCATTCACGCCATCTTCCCCACAATAGCAAATCATCTCGGAGGCCTGTCATGGGATTCGATCGTCTTGATGTTGAATTCTGGTCGCAAGTCAAAGTCGCAGACTCCAAGAATTGTCGTTTTGTGAGTGAGAGAGGGGATGATGTGAATGCTGGTGTTGTATGCCTCCCTCCCCTAGTCATCATCGAGCGACTCTTCGGAGGGCTGGAAGGGGGCATACATCTCAAAGCGGGTTATGATTGGATAGATACTGTCCCGCGAGTTGGGATTTTGGACTGGTGCGGGGTGAGTTGCAAGACATGTAAGCCAGAAAGACTGGCTGGCCTACAGTGATTGCAAAAACCTTGGAATACAGGCCAGTTGCATGAAGGTGGGTGACGCAAGCCACCTCTTTACTGTTAATCCTGATCTTGGAAATGTTGGGTATTCCCATTCAATGCTGGCCATGCTGACCCCCATCAGGGCCGTATGCCCCGTTGGGAGGGGGTGCTGGACCTGGCATCTTGAAATTTTGGTTACCCAATGGCGGAAAGTTGTCCATGACCATGTTCTGATTCCATAAAGGTGGTTGCATAAATTGACCAGTATTTAGAGGCGGGATTGCAGCTGTCATGTAACCTTGGCCTGCGTTGGGATGGATCAATGTTGGGATCCCAGTTTGCTGGTGGTGGCCGTTGTATGGTGCATAGTTGGGTGGGATTCCTGGTCGATGTATGTTAGAACCAGGCTTTACGCCATCTGAAACTTGTCGGGTGTAGATCGTCGGGCCGGGCCTTAAAGGACACAGTGGTGCGGACCGAGCACCGAACCGCAATTGCCCTTTATAAGTCCCCTGACCCAGACCCCAACCCATTTCGGCAGAAGAAGAAAAAACCACTTACCCGCATCATCATCAAAGACCAAGTTGTTTATTAATGTTGGCACCGTAAAGAGACTCGAGTCACTCGTGAACTCGCTTCTCGCTGTGCTCGATTGAGCCGAATTCTGGTATGAAGTCCGATGTGGTTGTCGTTGCGAGTAAGTACTCTGGTTGGCGGCAATTGAGGAAGAATGCCCTGCCTCGTCTCGATGGAAAAAGTTCCCACACAGAATAGCATGAACACCAGGAGGGAATTGTCGGTCGTCGACCACCAGCATATCACCTGTTTGTAATCTCACCCGACCGCCATTGCTAATCTCGACTTGCTCGACGACGGCTCGAACATATCGTTCTGGTCGGATTTGCCCCGATGAAATGCTGAGCAAGGGACGCCGTGGTACAGGTAGGTTCATTGGTCTAAACCCCAAGAAGCTAACAGCCGACTCAGATACAAAGGATTGCCGAAGATCTCTCCTGACTATCACGCCGATTGCGAACTTTTCTCCTGATGCTGACAAAAATGAGACCGCCTCTCTGACCTCCTGAAGGAGCCTCCGCCGACTCCAACTGCCTCTAGAAACGCGTCTTTCAGAGTTTATTTCTGACGAAATTGGCACAAATGTCTCAACTCTCGGTCGTGTTTCGATGGGAGGTGCCTCGTGGAGGTTGATTGCCCTGGAAGCATTCTCTGGCTGCACGGCGCTTAAGCCTGAAGAGCGACGCCGTTTTCTTACCGGTCGCTCAGCAGCACCAGGAGGAATGGGAAACCTCGAGTCTGTCGGGACACTGGTGGTCGTTTGTGGGTTCTGAGCTTCCCTGACCATGGCCAGGCCGTTTTTGTTTCGAGACACATGGTGAGCGGGCATGGCTCTTGAGCGGTACGTGTTGCGAGGTGGAGAGGATCGGGATGTTGAAGGCTGCGCAAACTGATGGTTGTGCTTTTGGCTAGGGATCAAAGTAGGTGACGACAGTCCGTCACTGGGAGAACAACGGAAGCTGATACTCCTAGTTGGGATTGGGTTCTCCAAGCCGAGTTGTTTGGATGTGGTTTCTGTATTCTGATCAGCTGAAAGCTCTTACAACGGCTCGCGGGAAGTCTTACCGGTGATGGCGATGGATTGAGTCAAGAAGGACTTCACTCTTAATAAGGTAAGGTAGGTGTCCAAGAAGAAGGTGAGAACCAGAGCTCGGATTTCGTGAGTGTCTTCCTTTTTTGAGCTTCCGTCCTTTGCGGTGCCTACCTTGGTTGAGCACCGCTGAGTGGGAATTTCTCTTCCAAGTTCCCAAAGTGGCAATGGGAAAACAATGCCACACAACCGCTGCACAGCGCGGAAAGTATGTGGACAAGAGGGCAGTGTGGTTGCGGGGATCCCAGGGGAATTTCGAATGGATGTTGGCGAAAGCTATGGATATCCCAAACTGGTGGAAGGACGCACGAAGAAGCAATGAGTCGGTGCAATAACGCTGAGCACGCGGAGTGTCGATAAAGAGAGTGGGAAGGAGAGCGGGAAGAAGAATGAAGGGCGTCAAGAAGGGAGGTGCCGCTACGATGCCTCACACAGTGGCGACAGCAACAGGCTCAGGCGAAAGCTGAATAGGCGGGGGATGATAAAGATGGGGAATGGGGGACCAAAGGAGCCAGACCAAATCCAGGGGGGGACACAGAGTCCCATAACAAACCCTCATTTACCTGAGTGCTTCGGCTGGGTAAGATACTAAGATTCCGTTCTTCAAAGGTGGATCAGAAGAACAGGGGGGAACTGTGGCAGGCGAGGTTTTCCCACGGGCAAACTGGGTCGTCCATTGCCAGGGGCGAGGCTATGTTGAGGTTATTCGAGGCTGGCGGCATCGGTATGCCCCTGTTCTGGTCAGCGACGGCATGCTTCCACCACTGATACTCACCGACCAAGCGATAGTATTGGTCACCGTGAGGGAATTGTCTCCACTATGTACCAAGCTTTTTGGTATGAACAGGAAGACTGACGGGAAGTGTAACCAAGAGGTGTGTGTTGGCAACTCAGGCATGAGGGGTATGCCCACTCCAAGACGGGCGATATGGGGTGTGTTGCCCAACCAGCTCAGGCGATGGCAGCATCTCTTCACCGTCGGTCGGTGTCTGGTGGGAATTCCAATTCAATGTATATTGGTAAGATGACGTGGCCCATTATGGGAGGATCCTTGGTGACCATCTTGTTGTTGATACCGCAAAGAGGCGAGAGAGGAGGAACATGTGGATGAAGGTGGAAAGTTTCTTTGCCCGCTCCCCATCTACGAGGTAAGGTGGCTAGCGCTTGCTGCCCCAAAAACACCGCCTTCCCTCCCGTCCGCAACATTGTGGCACAACCCACCTTTTGAGGGTTAATTAACGGGGCAGCTAAGGCGGGCTGGGGCACCTGGTCACCATGCGGGATTGACTTGAGCAGCCTTTTGTGGCAAGCACGACCTCACTCCTTTTTGTTGTTCTCACCTACGCCCGGCTCTGCTGGAGCTGAGATGTTGGCTGCTACCTACTCCGTGTAGTTAGTTCAGCGCTGGGCAACGATCATCAAAAGAGTGACCGGGGGCAGGTAAACCACCGCTGATACCCCGCTTGCCCACCATCTCAAGCAATGGGGGCTGATTTATTGTTTCGTATAGGGCCGGCCACATTCAACTGCGGGGAAGAGGGCATTTCGGCACAACTGCGTCGCGCTCATGGTCGCTTCCGACTCAGTTCCCACCTTGGTCGTTCGCAATGCCTCGGCGTAGAAACGATTATCATGGTGATCAAGAGGTCAAACCCTCCTCATTGCCCTACAACCGTTGCTCAACCAATTCGGATACTTACGGCTGAAGAGCTGTGAACCAAGGTGAGTTTTGCGTCGTGCTCTAGTAAACAAAGCTAATCAAGACGGTTAAGTTGGGCTTCATCAACACTTCTCTCGTCCGGCCAGTTCAGTGTTTCTTTGAAGACCAAAGGGTCTCGACGAGGCTCCACCCAGCCGCAATCTGCATCTTCGCATCACTCTTACTACAAGTCGCTCGATTGGTTCATCTCATAAAGCCAGGCATATCTGAAACTCCCTAGACGGCCGCAAAACTGCACAGATCTTTTCTAATTTTCCTTATATCGGAGCGGTCGTCCTGCTCTTATATTGTCGGCCGTCCCGGGTAGTGTTGCTACACCCGGTTCCGCTCCCAGTTCTTTCAAAAGGGAGGCAAATTGACCCAGGAAAAGAAACCTTTGCTTAATTCGCCTCATATCGTTGCCATTGGGGGACCCATTGTTTGCGCACCTCCAGCAGATCCGGCACACGGCGCCATGAGACATGCGAACTCACGCCTGCCAGGAGCACGGCCGGATAGCGACTCGAGTGGCGAAAAACAAGGCAACCATCTAACCGCGGAATCTCACTCGGTCAGCGCTCAACCCCCCACGGATGTAGACGCCCTATCGCAATCGGAACCAGCGGAACTGGGCACCAAAAGCAAGCATTCCTACCGGACAAGACCACAGAGGGACCATAAGAGAGTGCCGAAAAGGGGCAAAGGGGCCGTTGAAGCAGCAGTCAGTAGGTCCCAAACACGATCGACTACCGCTCGAAACAAACTCGCCCATCAACACACAAAGGTTCCTGTCACAAAGACGGTGAAACCATCTACTCCGGCTGCTAACGGTACCAATTCTAAGGACCTAAGCACGATCCGCCAGAGGAAGCAAGCCCTTCTCGAAGAGGAAGCAGCAAAAAAGCGCAAACTTATCGACGAATATATCGCCACTGGTGACCCAAAGGTCTTCATCTCTTTTCTCGCACCCTTCGCCAGCGCCAACAGCACCGGAAAACATGGCAAGCGCAGGAAACTAGGCGAGTGGCAGTGGGATCGTGAAGTGGAGCGCCATTGGAGAGAGGATAAGACATCAGGAGAACCTGGTGCAAGGATTTGGGCTCCAGTCGAGGAGTCGTTTATCTGAAAAAGGGGTTGATTGTGAGAGGAGTTGTCTCTCTAATAATATCGGATTCGACAAGCTGTGTGTCTGTTGGGTTGGCTTTTTGCTCCGTTTTTATTTGGCTTGGCTCTTGCTTCCTTCAACTGTCTTCCCCGTATCATCCGGGGACGTGTCTCATCTCAATTTTGTAGATCCGGAGACGTCTCCGGATTCACCTGTCCCAAAATAAACAGAGGGGGCTAAAAACGATGTTGTCAATCACTTGCTTGCCGCTCGTCTCACCGTTCCGGAAATCCATGACTCTTTTAGTTCCAAATGATAATGTTACTTGCGTCTCGGTAATGCATACGAATGTTTGAAACGAGCGAGGCGTCCGCGCGCCTGGTGCGTGGGCCGCGAACTCGATGACCCGGAATTATATGCGGCTCAAATGAGAGATTGGCGGTGAAGAATTCCCAGTGGCGAGTTTCAAGACGCCTACCTAGCTGATTTACGGTTTGTTGGTATCTTATTATCTGGCCAGTATGCCTGTTGCCATGGACGACTGGAGCAGGAAGCAGGGGAGCTTTCAAAATTGTTGAGAAACTTCATAGAAAGGTCTTTGTGGACTGGATGCGGTAAGTCACTTGGGTAGTCAAAACCTGAGGCTTCTGGGTGGTATAGATACCTATCTTGTCAACGGACAGCCACCAGGGCAAGGGGATGCGATTAGAGTCTGACAGCTGAGTGCGTCCGGCTGGGGGGCAGGAAAGCCGATCTAGTTACTTCGTCATCGGGCGCTCTTGCGTCAAACCCCCTGTTCGGATATCATCTCATGCAGGTAATTGCGCGAATCTGGAAGCCACCACCGTTCGGAGGCAAGTACATACTCTCGCCCAGCATAGCAAGCCCTGTTGGACACTAAAGATGTTTTTCTCTCGAATCAGCTGACAGTTTCTTCCCCTTTCTCTGCTAGACCAACCCACCACATGTCTGTTGGTGGTCAAAAGAAGGTGAGACAGAGCCCTCTCCACCACAAACAAGGCGTCTAACGGTGATGAATTCTTGGGCGTTCTTTGCTTTTCCTGAAGAGCCACAGCTGGCCCTATATCGCCCGTTGAATAGCCCGCAGTCCCGTTGCTAGCGTGATGTTTCTTGGAGCTGATCCGCCAGGGCGATCGTGGCTGTCGTGGGGTCTGAGCGCGCAGATGTCTAGTCCGGGTTCTGCAGTTGTTCCTTTGTCAGGACCTCGTGTTTATAGCCAGATGTGAAACATGGTGAATGTCTTTGTTTTGATTAAGAAGCGGCATCTGATCAGAGCGGTCGGTCCCTCAGTCTCAGCGGGTCAGATCCTCAGCTGACGAGGACTCTCGAGCCGGTAGCCACCACGGAACCACGGATATGGCAGAGTGGGAAGAGTACATCTCCGCAGGGGAAATAAATGTTAGTGCGGCCAGGGCAAATTCCACCAAAAGACCCCTGTCACGCTAACATAAATAACCGTGGCAGAGGTGTACCTAAGAAGGAAACTTCCGCAGCGCGGGAGTTGCCCGGTTGGGCCCGGTGATCTGGATGGCTGGACACCGGCTGACTGCCGTCATAGCGGCTTTGACATGCGAAGTAAAACCGGAGAAGTGAGTCTGGGATGCTTTCCCAGCTTCCCCTCTCTGCAAAAAGTTTGGATCTAGCAAGTTTAGTGGAATGGCGTATCCTCTCATGCTCACCCAGGTTGAGACAGGCACACGCGCGGATAATTGGGGTCGCATTTTGTCAGGCTGCTAAGCAATCTAGCTGGGTCTCTCCTGTGCGTCAGTTGTCGCCCACATCTTGGCGGCGTCAACAGTAAGTACATGTACCTACTTATCAAGGTCCCCCCAACCTTTTCATCCCCAAAAGCCGATGAGCTCGTACTCAACAAAATGCCGGCACCGCATTTCCCGATTCTGTTTCCATGGAATC